GTAAATCGTTTTTTTCCAAGAGTATAAAAAGGGTTGGGGCTATAGCTCAGCAGTAGAATGCTTACCTAGTATCCTGGGTTCAATTTCCAGAACAGCAAAAACCAAACATAAAAAAAATAAAAAGACTACTAATGCCTTAACTTTCCATTTTTAAAGAGCCAGAAAAAAAAAGAAGAAATTAAATTCAAAGTGACATGAAAAAAATCAGAAAGGAAATAAAATGGAGAAACCAGACAAAGCTAATTGGCTCTGTGAGACAATCAATCTGTAAAAAGACAAATCCCATGGCAGAGATAAGAAATGGGGGTTAGTACAGATCTCACAGACACGAAATTGCTAACACAGAAAAAAAACTTTTAAGACAGACTGCTGGAGGGCTACATAACTCACCAAGGCAGACCAACATGCCTTTAATCCCAGCAGAGGCAGAGGCAGGCAGATCTCTGAGAGCCAGGCCAGCCTGCCTCTACCTCCTAGGTACTGAGGTGACCACGCCCAGCAAGACTCAGTATTTCTAAGATGTCTGTTCTAAGCTGATTTGCAAATTCAGTGAAATTCTACATGTGCAACAAGCCAGATTTTCAGATAAGAATACACTGAAAAATCGGTCATGGAGAGGCAGGTTTTTTTAATCTCAGGAGGCTGAGGTAGAGGCAGGTTGATCTCTGTGAGATGGAGGTCAGTCTGGTCTATATGGTGAGTTCTAGGCCAGTTTGGGCTACTGGGAGACCCTGTCTCAAAACAAGCAACCAACCAACCCAAAGAATGCACTGAAGCCAGATGTGGTGGCTTACATCTCTCATCTCACCACTTTTGAGACTGAAGTTGGAGGATAACCATAAATTTGAGGGTAGCCTTGGCTACGTTGTGAGTTCCAGGCCAGCCTGAGGTATCATGTGAGACCCTGTCTCAAACAACAAAAAAATCAAAAGAATATACCAAAGCTGCTGGGTGTGGAGGGGTGTGTCTACAACCTCAGCAGTGGGGGCTGTGGCAGAACTACCAGGGAGCTGGAGGTCAGTGTGGGGACACAGTGAAGGGTTGTCTCCAAATAAATAACTAAATAAAACAAAATAAAATAAAGAGGAGATGGAGAGATGCTCAGCAGTTAAGAGCACTGGCTGTTCTTGCAGAGGCCTGGATTTGGTTCCCACACCCACTGTCCTAGTTCCAGGGGATCTGACACCCTCTTCTGGTCTCTGTGGACATTGTACATACATGGTACACACATATACATGCAAGCAAAGGGCTTGTGCACATAAAATAATTTTATTATTTTTTACTTTATGTGTATGCACATATCTGCCTGCATGTAGGTAAATGTACCTGTGTCGTGCAATGCTGAGAACAGAAGAGGCTGTTGGGTCCCCTGGAACTGGAGTTACGGACAGCTGTTAGCTGCCCAATGTGGGTGCTGGGATTTGAACCCCAATCTTCTGCAAGAATAGGCAGTGCTCTTAACCGCTGAGCCATCTCTCCAGCCCCCACATAAAATAATTTTAAAAAGGGAAGAAAATGGGAGGAGGGGGAGGAGAGGAGGAGGGAAGGAGAGGAGGAGGGAAGGAGAGGAGGAGGGGGAGGAGAGGAGGGGGGAGGGGGAACCTTGATTGACACTCACTGTGGGTGTGGCCTTGGCATCATACCATAGGCACTAGCAGACAACAGGGAGATACTTGGTGGGGGAGGAGGGGAAGAGGGGAGGAGAGGAGGAGGGGAAGAGGGGAGGAGAGGAGGAGGAGGGGAGGAAGAGAAGGTGATCACTACATGAGACCCTGATCAAAAAGTCAAAACAAGCAAGCAAATCAAACAAAACAAAAAAGCAGATGTGGTTTAGAAAAAGGACCATTAAGGTCCCAGGCTGGGAGAAAAGCCCCATCACAAAGGGACAATACACACTCCCCCTCCCTCGTTTTTCCTGTGCTGAAGATTGAACTTGGGGCCTTGCACAGGCTAGGCAGTGCTTTATCGACACAGCTGGACCCAACTTTAAAGAGGGCAAAATACACAAAAAGAAAAAAAAGGCAAAATACACGCTCATCAATGCCTGCAATTCCGCCACACGGTGGGGTAGGAGGAGGAGCATCAGGTGAAGGCCAGCCCTGGCTACACAGTGAATTTGAGGCCAGTCTGGGCTACATGACACTGTCTCAGTCCTCCCCGTAAAACACCCCAAAATGGTAAAATACAACTGGGCTTGGTAGTTCATGCCCTTAGTCCCAGCATGGGTGGCTGAGGCAGGACTGAGGCAAGCTTGGGGTACATTACAGGCCAGCCTGGGCTAGACTGAAGCCCTGTCTCAAAAGACCCTAATGGGACAGGTGAAATGGCTCAGTGGGTAAAGGCGCTTGCTGTCAAGCCTCATGACTTGAGTTTGATCCCTGGTTAACTACATGACAGGTGAGAATGACTTCCCCAGGCTGTCCTCTGACTGCCACACATGCTCTGTGGGCCACACACATGTGGAAACACAAATAAATGCAATAAAAACCTGGTAAAACAGGGCAAACGGGCAAAATAGTCAAGCTGAGACTTACGAACACTGCCGAAGTCCAGGGGAAGACGCTCGGCACCTGGGCACGAGGAAGGAAAGCTCAGCAGGTCATTAAGTCCCGAGTGTGAAGGAGCCGGCAACAGCAGTCCTGGGGTGTCCTCGAATATCAGGACAGTGTAGCCACATGGGAAAGCTGTGTGGCGGCTCCCCAGTTACATACAGGACATTCTCAAATTTCACTCACCGTTTACCTGCCCATGGAAAATGGAAGCTCACGCAGAGATGCACCCATAGTCAGCACTTAACTGAAAACCACTCAGTTGCCCCACTCACCAGCAGGTAGATTAAGGAGGCCTTGGGGACATATCTGGATCACAGATTATCAGAGGCAAAAGGAGGGATTTCTCTTACGTGCAGTACCATGGCCATTCAAAGCCATGATTCCGAGGGAAAGCAGCCTGAGTGAGAGTAAGGAGGGTCCCTGCGTACCTGCACTGACCACTAGCTGGACGTGCCATCTAAAAAGGTCATCCACATACCACCCAGGGTTTTTTCAGGTAGGGGCTCTTATCTTCCTGCCTCTGACTTCTGGAAAGCTGGGATTACACAGAGGCTCTTACTGCATGAATTTAGACATTGGTAAGGGGACCCAGTGTGGTACCCACCTTGTGGCAAGCTGTACCTGGCACAGGACTCCTGGAGCTCTGAGTCTGGATCTGCCACAGTGACCAAAGGAGGGTCTTTATGAAGGCTTTAGTTGGCCTTTTCTCTTTCTAAATGACTTTTACATTAAGATCATAACATGAATACAAGCGCATTGAGGAGGCAAACATGACTGTGAAGAGGCCTCAGCTGGGCTCCACTTCTCTGGACTGGGATAAGTCACACACCTTGCCTCTTTGGTGATACTGTCTGGGTAAACAGGCAGGACAACAATCAGCAATTTCAAAGACACTGGCAGATGAACTTCTCTCTGGAGCTTTAGACCTGACCTCCCCATCTAGCTCAAGCCGCCGTCGTCTGATGGGAGCTGTGGAAGGACCGTCACACAGCAGCTCTGGCCAAGCACTGCCGTAGCATCTCCTCCACCTGTTCTCATGGCCAAGGTGTGCCACTTACCTGTGACTCTGCCTTGGAGAAAAGGCAGGGGTAGCCTCGGTCAGCCCCAAAGGCAAAGGTGCTGAACGCAGCCACAGCCGGCACAGTGAGAGCTTCCCGTTCCTGGCACCTCTGGAGATTTTGGTTGCGACAGCTGGTTGGGACACTCCTGGTCTCTGGTCATAGGGCTAGCAATGCTGCTGCCCTTGGCGTGGACACCATCTCCTTCTGTGGCCAAGGCCTGGATCTTTGTACGTGCTAGGCAAACACTGCTATGGAGTCACAGTCCCAGCTCACAATTGACATTTTCAAGATGCTAGAGCAACGACAACTATGAAGGACCGTAACCCGACATTTTCGTTAGACGGCCTAAAGTCACATACCAGAGGAACTGAGTTTGCATGAAGACGCTTGTGTTCACCTGTACACTCACGCCCAGAGGCGTTTCTCCTCTCCACAGTCCTGGTTCTGCTTGCTTCTGCTTACCCAGAGATTAGAGTAGTATCAGGGAGGGTCTGGGAGACCAAAGCCAGCAATTCCCTTAGTAAGAGACACCCATAGGGGCAGCTTCCTTGAGTCTGCAGAGACAACCATAAACCCAAACCACCGGGGATGTCTTCCAAAGCTGGGCACTTTGAATTATTTATTTATTCACTCATTCACTCATTCATTCATTCATTTAATAAATAGTCTTACTATGTCACATCGGCTGGCTTTCAACTTAAGAGATCCCTCTGCTTCTGCTTCCTGAGTGCTGGGAGCTTGTGTTTTTTTTCAATCGACAGAATGACAGCCAGGCATAGTAGCTAACACCCACACTGTAGAGACTGGGGCAGGACTGCTGTAATTTCCAGGCTAGCCTGGGCAAAGCAAGTACCTTGTCTCAAAAAACCAAACTGTAAGCAGTGAGGTAACTCAGTAAATGAGAGTGCTTGCTGTACACTGTGACCCAAGTTCAATTCCTGGAACCACAGTAGAGGGAGGGAACTGACTCTTGCAAGTTCTCTGACTTCCACATGTGCACCATGTTATAAATGCGTGTGCACACACACACACACACACAAATAGTAAATGCATTTTAATAACAAAACAAAAAAATCAAACCAAACACTTGCAAGTTCTCTGACTTCCACATGTGCACCATGTTATAAATGCGTGTGCACACACACACACACACACACAAATAGTAAATGCATTTTAATAACAAAACAAAAAAATCAAACCAAACAAAGCCCCCTAAGATCCTGACAGCACAGCAAAGCAGGGCGGGCAGGTCCACCATCTGTGGTGTCTTCTGCTCATGAGAAAGGAGGCAGCTAGAGGTCAGCGAGGTTCCTGCATCTCACAAACCCCTGGACAATTTCAAGTAATTCGAAGCACAAGAACCAAGAAAAGGCGATTGCACAGGAGCTTTACTAGGGCCACCTCTTTAATAGGTCAGAGTAACTGTACAATTCATTATATTCTTCCTGAGAATAATTTATTTCCCCCGACAAACTAAAGGGAGGGTGCACTTTTCAAAATCATCTAACAGAAGGGATGGTGTGACAACCAAACCTCTCCAGAGAGCCAAACCCCCCTGCCTGCGGGGTCCTCTCCGGGAAGACGGGCGCAATGAAGATCAGTTAGCTCCAGTGGCTGCCAAGAGTCAACATGGCTTTAATCTTTCTTTATAAATTATATAAAAATGGAAAACAGGGACGGTCTGGACTTCTGAATGCAGCTGGGAGGTGCTCTGGTACAAAGCATTTTTGCTCCCAAGAGAAATTACATTGCTACAAAAAACTGGCACAGAATTCTGTGAGGAGACTAGAGTGGTAGTCAGCTCTGCACTAGTTCCCAACTCAGCGCTTCAGTACCCGCGGGGACAGGAAAGGGTGGCAGAAGTCTTCTGAAATTACTCCAGTCTTCAAAATAGAGCTTTTATATTCTTCCTCTGTAAATGGGATTAGCATATTACAACCAAAGGTGTTCTGAAAAGCCAACATCCCAGTCTGGACAGGATGGGCAGGAAGGACTCCGGCTTCCTGGGTCTGTGGAAACCCTCTCTCCTCAAGCGTCTCTTCCAACTTGCAAGCAGGGCGGGTGGGGACTACCACGGCCGCAGGCCACTTTCAGTAAAACACATCCCGATGTGAATACCAAGTGAGTCCTAAAATCTTCTTAATTGTACAATTTTCATTCTCAGAAAAATGCCACATTTTGGATCCAGATTTTTCTGAATGCTATGATTTAGAAAAATAACAAAAATGAACCCAAATCAAAATGTGGCTGAACTTATACAAGAGAGGTTTCCAGCTAGCTGTCTTTCAGTTGGAGCTGAGTGCTGGCGGCTGAGGACATGGGTTAATTCCTCGCTGCTGGTGGAAGGCTAGAGGAGACCTCCCGAGGGGCACAAGGGGGCACTCGCTGTGCTCAGTGTGGCCTGGTCTGCCCGAGCACTTTCAGTCTGGCCTGGTCGATGACATCCAGCAAGTTCTTCGCATCCACAGCCAGGGCGTGAGCAGCGGTCAGCATCTGCTTCTTGTACTCCTGCTGTAGGCTGGTCATGACGTACTGCTGCGCCAGCTTCATCTTGCTGATGAGCTCGCCCAGGTCGGAGTTCAGCAGCTTCTGTGCCATCTCGATCTGCAAGGACAGGAAAGGGTCAGAGAGCTTTCTCCAGGCACTGGTCACGGGCTTTGCTTTTGGTGCCTCCGAGACAAGAAACTTTCTTTCCTTCAAATAAACTTCCCTTAGAAATAACAGGAGGTGCAATCTGAGAATTTCAGACACTGCAGAGCGGCCTGTGCCGACAAGCACAAGTGGTCAGCGGCCTCTGAGCCTCCCGTTCCCAGCCCCCAGGCTTGTGTGGCCTCTTCCACTTTGTACTTACTGTTGGACTCTGATCTCAGTATCTGGCAGAGCTCCCCTTTGTTTTAGTCACAGAACATGAGCCTCAGGGATGACCTAGTCCAAACGCTTCAACATGAACAACTGTAGCACATGACTCACTGAGGGTTACACAGGATAAACACCAAGATCATGCTCATCTATTTTTTCACTATTTTAACTAATTTTTATGGTGAAAAAAAAAATTTGTACTTAGACTACTGGACTGCTTAGATGATCCCAATTTTGTTGACAACATCCAAAGCATCGTAACCAGGAGCCAGATGAATATAGGCCTCCTTCTCTCCGTCAGGTCTGGATGGAGAAGGGAGCCTCAGAACATGCTCTCACTACCCCAAGCCCTCCCACATCCCTCCCCTAGTCCTCTGGTGTCCTCAGTGGTTCCTCTGTTGGTGTTCTTCTTTTCCAAATAGAGAGTTTTCCATTATTTGCATTATTATTATTTTATCTGTATTGCCTGCATGTAAATAAGTGCACCCATGTCATGCAATGCCCTTGGAGGACAGAAGAGGCTGTCAGATTCCCTGGACTGGAGTTATGGACAGTTGCTAGCTGCCACGTGGGCGCTGGAATTCGAATCCGGGTTTTCTGCAAGAACAGCCAGTGTTCTTAATCGCTGAGCCATCTCTCCAGCCCTGCTTGTCTATTTTTTTAAAAGATTTTAAGAATATTTAATTAATTAGTGTGTGCCACATGTGCGAGTACCTGCAGAAGCCAGAGGCAAGCATCAGAGCCCCTGGACCTGGCGTTATAGGCACTTTTGAGCCACTTGCCGTGGGTGGCTTGGAACCTATTTTGGGTGCTCTGCAAAAGCAGGAAGTGCCCTTAACTGCTAAGCCTCCTCCCCAGGCTCCCTCGCTAGCTTCCTACAGCTGTAGAGAGGCTGTAGCAGCGTCAGGGGATATCCCTGAGTCACTTGATGGGCTGGGCTGTGGAACATGCGCTGCCCTGGAGGGCCACATGCCTTGCTTGCTGGCTCACCACTTCCCCCTGTGTTTTACTATGGCCAATGGTGACTGAGACATTCACTCTACTAATGATTATGAGCACTGAGCATGCACAAGGCACTTCATGCTTCGGGTAAAAGATGGAATGCGACCTGGTGGGAGAAGACCGAGGGAGCTCACTGGTACAAAGGCCACACACAACAGACTCACACAGGGAAGGCCCATCCTCTGCCTCAGCTGGAACTGGACTAGACTGTACAAGCAGACCACTGTACTGCAAAGGACCATGCAAAGGTGACCTTCGTCTTGCTCCAAGTGCAGCGGGTGGCAGAGAAAACGTGGGGGAAGGACACTGACCTAATGTAGAGCGCTGTTCTAGAAAGACGGCTCTGGGGGCAGAATGAAGCCTGGGGACACCACAGTCTCAGGGAAGGCGACAATGCTGCTGTGAGAGGACGCGCCTGAACTTTATGAGTACTGATGCACATGGGGGAGACAATTGGGGTATGCCTACTCCTCCCTCTTCAATGGGCACCGGTGTTCAGTGTGTGCTGATGTAACAGCTACAGAGGCAAAGAGGGAAGTGCAGACCACTCAGGCCGACACCCACTGGACAGCAGGCAATCACACTCTGGGCAATCCTTCCAAGCAGCACAGATTGGGGAGCACAAAGCTATAGATAACTGCCAGAGTGAGGAGAAGCATTGTTTAGGAAAACAGAACACAGCACCTTGGGTTTGGAAGGCTCAAGGGCAGGACTGGAGGTGTCATGGGAGGGGGCTGGGCAGGAGTGAGGAGACTGATCTGAGGTGGTCCCTGGCCATGTAAGGGTCAAATTACTGCAGAGAGCTGGGCCCAGTGTGGCTGCCTAGCAGGTGGGAAGAAAAGGGGCAGTGGAAGACGGGAGCAGGAACACAGAAAGGCTTTTCTTTAAAACAGTAACCTCTGTGTGCAGGAGTCAGGTAGGGCAGAGTGGTTACTTGTGGCTGCCTGTCTCCATGAATGGTCCCGAGGAGGAACCCAATGGTTAGGATACCAATTGTATCTGCTTGTCATGGAAACCAATCCCAGCCCAGGGAAGTGGGTGCAGCAGGCAGCCCTCTATCTGCCTATGAGTTTAGAGTCATGTTGAGGACTAATAATCATGGTGGTTTTCCAAAACAACAAAAGTGGTTGGCCCATTCAGAGGGACTACCCACTTGGGCTGGGTCTGACTGCCTGAAGGTCGCTGAGCCCTCTCAGGGCCAGAGCCATGCTGCCTGCTGAGCCCAGAAGGTGAGCTGAGAATCCTTTAGCCCCTGTGCCACAAAAATGTCACTGTCTTCTGGGTGTGGCGGCTCTTGCCTGCAGTCTCAACCCCAGGGGAAGCTGGGATGGGAGGATTTCAAGTTCAAGTTCAAGTTCCAGGCCAGCCTCACTACATAGCAAGGGCCTGGCTCAAAAGCTCTCCCCACCCCAAATGTCAATGTTACATGACACAAAGTAGATGGGCAACGTCCAGATGAAGGGAGGCCACATGGACAAGTACCATGTGTGGTGAGCACCATTGTGATGCCCAGGCTGCTTCCGAGCTAGAGGTGCCAGGACCCTGAGCACTCCAGGGAGGAAGGGCTCATAGCAACAGGAGGCTCAGGGCACAGAGGTGTGTGGCAGCTACACATGGGCCACCTGTTATCAGGAAGGCCCCTTGGAGGTGTTCAAGGTTAAAGGGGCATATGCCTACAACTTGGTCTCAAATGCTCACACGTGTGCATGCACAGATGAACAGGGAGAAAGAATGCAAATGTGGTGAGATGTTGAGACACGACACTTGGTAACGGGCGTTTGGAATTCTCAGTATTAATCTTTTAATTTTTCTGTGATTCTGAAAAGCCTTTCAAAATAAAAAGAAAAAAATAAACCAAACAAAAACATGAGGGCTGAGCTGAAGGACAGCCGGAGGGACAAGGAGGCCGAGGAGGGGGAAGGAGCCATACAAATGAGACAAAACTACTAAATGGCTGAGGCTAGGCACTGTAGCCTCCACCTGGAATCCAGTACTTTGAGCAGTGGAGCAGCAGGATCAAGAGTTCAGTTTGTGGACATTCTGAGCCACATGAGACTGTTTCAAACCCACCTCCCAAACAAACAAAACAAAGGGGAAAAAAGGGGCTAGAGTGCGGGAGACGGCTCTGCGTGAACCTGGTCCTTAAAGTGTGGGAGACGGCTCTGTGTGAACCTGGTCCTTAAAGTGCGGGAGACGGCTCTGCGTGAACCTGGTCCTTAAAGTGCGGGAGACGGCTCTGCATGAACCTGGTCCTTAAAGTGTGGGAGACGGCTCTGCGTGAACCTGGTCCTTAAAGTGTGGGAGGCTCTGCGTGAACCTGGTCCTTAAAGTGCGGGAGATGGCCCTGTGTGAACCTGGTCCTTAAAGTGCGGGAGACACATAATTTAAGGACGTTTAGATTTTTAAATTTTATTTATTCTTTCTTAAGTTTTAAAAAGTATTTTATTATTTTTATGTTAGGTGTGTGAATGCACTGTCTGTATGTAGGTTAAGTGCACCCTGGAACTGGAGTTATGAAAGGCTGTTAGCCTTAATGTGGGTTCTGGGAACTGAAAACCCAGGTCCTCTGCTAGAACAGCCAGTGTCTTAACTGCTGAGCCATCTCTCCAGTCCCATT